GCCTGATCCCTTGGTTGTCCTGCAGGTGGCCGACACAACAAAAAAACTAGTTTGCTTAAGCCACCCACAAATAGATGGACTAGTATCACCAATGATACTTGACAGTATTGCTGATATATTTTCTATTCTACTGTAAAATATGCAGGCCTTCTGAAGTTACTTCAAAGACCTCCAAGAGCAAGCAATTCTTCTATGCAATAAAGATAAAAGATTATCATTACCAGTTGCTTACAACTTTTTTTTAATCCAAGCTGCAGCTCAATATTAATTTGACATGTCTATAAACAAAGCAGTACTTCTATTAAGTAAATTCATATCAGATTTCATAACATTTTAAATAGTCATTTTTGAAAGGTTGTAACATTCAGAAACTTGACATTCACTTTTAAGTATTAGAGTGGGCCATTGCCCTGTTCACCTATACAAAGTGCAGCTTTGTTGTTACATGTTTTCTTCTAAAGCGGCAAATACAACACCCACAATTTGTCTTCCTAATCCACCAGAAATTTGATTTTTAGAAGTATGAACTAAAAAAGAAAAGGAAAACAGAAAACCTGCTCTTTTGGGGTTAGCGAAGAAGTGAGAAGGGATGTTTCAAGTATGCCACACTGCCAGCTACAATAAACAAAACAAGAGACTTTGACTGACCTTCTGGAGCTTCCTTTTGCGGCTGCACCTTGTCAAGCACTGCTTTCTCAGAAGCTGCCTCGTTTCTTCTGTCAAGTTGTGCCCTATTATAAAAATACCACATCCAGGGGAAACACCATGTAACAATAGTCATTAGTCAACTGAAAAAGTCACCAAGTGCAGCAAATCTAACACGGCAGACAAACAATGAAGCTTTAGCTAAGCTTAACATTTTAACTGATGTATATATCTAAATACTACTGAGTTAAAGCTAGTTGTTTGAACTGGAGAGAGATAAGAAGAAGAGAGTACTTACTTATCCTCTTTCTCTTTTATCCACACTTCATTAACAGTGATGGGAAATTCCTTACTCTCCTTACACTGGCACTTTTTATCTTCTGTTTCTTCCAACATCTCTGCTTCCAAATCATCAGGTTCTAAAAATTAATGAAGTCACATACCTCATTAAAAATGAATCCCAACCAAACAAGATGTCAGGAGAGACTATACATCTTAAGATTACACTTAAATCCTTCAGCTTTAATACTTTTCTGTATTTTGCAGAAACAACTTAAGTTTTGTAACCCCAGAGCTAAAAGTTTGTTTCCAAGACAAGAAAAATATCTTAAAGCTCCAATGAACTATGTCTTCTAAAAACCTCAGTAGCATTCCCCCAGAAGTCAGCAGGGTGCTGGTATCATTACAGGGGAAAAGATTCCAGCGCAACTGTATGGGGAGAAACAAACAAAAAAACCCCAAGAACAACAACAAAAAATCTGAAGCACTTTAGAATTCCACTTCTATTCTAAAGAGTTTTCTATAAGCACACAGAAAAGTTTCTGGAAATTTACAAAATACATTAGTGAATCAAATTACAACACAGACATAGAAAGTCCTTGGTCCTACCTAAAAGGTGTTAATAGAAAACTGCACATTACTTATGGGAAGATAGAAAAGTATACAGGATCATTACTTCCCTCACTGAACTGGAACACAGATTGTAATTACAATTACTAATGAAATCTCTTACCATCCAGCATAATAGGTTTACTCTGCACCTGTGTAGGTCCAGCTCTTTGAGATTCTTCTGGTATAGTCATATCAGACTCCGTGACATCAACGGGTACTGAAGACTGAGCTCCAGACATAGCAAAAGCTTTCTCTTCCTTGTCCTCTTTTATGATCAAGGACTGATGATCTCCTTCAAGAAGTTCTGCAGTACCTAATGCAAAATTACTCTATTATTTAAACAGTGCTTTGACACAGTTTGATAATAAACTACAGTACAACTGCAAGGTAAGTTGAGAATTTCTGTTTCTTTAAAGGAAAACAGAAAAGTAAAGTTTGCATGATTTTATTACAACTATTATGAAAAGGGAAGCTAGAATTATTAAAATTTTAATTTGACCAGAAAAAAAAGTCCACTCATATGGTAAGTCACATGCTAACAAGGTTATAGGACCTATCTAATACAAAATTCAGTTGATGATATCCTGTACTGGATTTGTGTGGCAAGGTTTTGGTAGCGCGAGGGCTGCAGGGATGGCTTCCCTGAGAAGCTGCTAGAAGCTTCCTCTGTGTCTGACAGAGCCAATGCCAGCCGGCTCCAAGACAGACCCGCTGCTAGCCAAGGCCAAGCCCATCAGTGACAGTGGCAGCGCCTCTAGGAGAACAGAGTTAAGAAGGGAGGGAAAAAACACCGTGCAACTGGAGAGAGGAGAGAGAACATGTGAGAGGAACAGCCCTGCAGACCCTCAGGTCAGAGCAGAAGGAGGGGCAGGAGGGGCTCCGTGTGCCAGAGTAGAGGTTCCGCGGCAGCCCCTGGGGAAGCCCATGGTGAGGCCGGCTGTCCCCCTGCAGCCATGGAGCTCCACACTGGAGCAGATCTTCACCTGCAGCCCAGGGAGGACCCCACACCGGAGCAGATGGATGCCCAAAGGAGGGATCCCGTGGGAAGCCCACGCTGGAGCAGATTTGCTGGCAGGACCTGTGGCCCCACAAGGGACCCCAGGCTGGAACAGTCCGTTCCTGAAGGACGGCACCCCATGGAAGGGACCCAGGCTGGAGCAGTTCATGAAGAACTGCAGCCTATGGGAAGGACTCATGTTGGAGAAGTTCATGGAGGACTGTCTCCTGTGGGACGGACCCCATGCTGGAGCAGGGGAAGAGTGTGAGGAGTCCTCCTCCTGAGGAGGAAGGAGCAGCAGAGACAACGTGTGATGAACTGACCACAACCCCCATTCCCCATCCCCCTGTGCTGCTCAAAGGGAGGAGGTAGAGAATTCAGGACTGAAGTTAAGCCTGGGAAAAGAAGGGAGGGTGGGGGGAAGGTGTTTTAAGATTTTAGTTCTCATTATCCTATTCTGATTTGATTGGTAATAAATTAAACTAATTTCCCCAAGTTGAGTCTGTTTTGCCCACGATGGTAATTGGTGAGTGACCTCTCCCTGTCCTTATCTTGACCCACAAGCCTTTCGTTTTGTTTTCTCTCCCCTGTCCAGCTGAGGAGAGGAGTGGTAGAGTGACTTTGGTGGACACCTGGCATCCAGCCAGGGTCTGCCCACCACACATCCACTTTAAAAAACAGACTTGTTTCTATCAATAAGCGAAGTCCAAGACTTTTCAATAAAATGAAGATCCTTCTCTTTCAAACACATCCTTCTTAATTTCTTACCACTTCACTGAACTTGAAATATTTTGGTGTCTTCCAGCATCAGCTTGTGCTGACATTTAGAACATTTAGAACTGAGGCAACACTCAGAAGTGGAAAGCAAAAGTGAGCACAGAATACGCTTTTATGACTTCAAAATTGTTCTCAATAGACAAACTGGCAATCTGGCACTTTCTACACTTGCAGTGTAGATAATTACCAGCTGTGCTTACCGTTTATTACATCTAGCTCCTCGAGTAAGTCAGTTTGCAGCTGCAACTCTGCTTCTCCTAGGATCTTCAGGACTGAATCAGTAGGGCTTTTGCCCCAGACTTTCCTGTGGTGTTCACCAATATCCAGCCTAATTACTTCCCCCAGAGTTTGACCTTTTGGGACACAATCACAAATATAGAAACTTTTAGAAATTAGAAACTTTTATTCACTTTCTATACAATAAACAAACAAAAAACTTCCACAAAACTAAAAACTATTAAGCCAGAACTCATGACACCTCACCCCAAGTCAGACAGCCTAAAGACTGTGCTCAAAAGTCTAGAGTTTTTTCCGCTGCCAATTCCATTTAATTACAGGAGTTATTCAATGCCAGTTAACACCTGCAACTTAACAGCAGGAGGAGATCTGTTCAGCAATTCAGGCACTCCAAAAGAAAACAGTGCGAGAAATGTTTAAAACTGGCATGAGATGGTCTTAACTTTAGCTGAAATGGGAAACTAGAAAGTCTCTTGTCCTGCTGTCCTTTGACATTTGTTTCTGTTATTTCGCCCTCCAAGGAAAACAGGACATAAAGCAACAAAGAATAGTGCAAAAGAAGTTGTTTCTTGATCTTCTAACATCCTAGCCATGCAAAACTACTATGTTACGAAGTAAGACTGGATATTAGGAAAACTTTCTGTACTGAAAGAGTGGTCAGGCATTGGAACAGGCTGCCCAAGGAGGTGGTGGAGTCACCATCACTGGAAGTGTTCAAAAAACATGTGGATGTGGTGCTTCGGAACATGGTTTAGTGGGCATGGTGGTGTTGGGTCAACGGTTGGACTTGATGATCTTAGAGGTCTTTTCCAACCTTAATGATTCTGTGATTCTGTAAGTCCGTCACATTCTCAATGATTATTTATTTCTACAATGTGAAATGGACCCTTAATAAGATACACTGAAATCAGGAAAAAGGTTTTCCACCCAAGAGACCAGAGAAGGCAGATAGAAAACTTCAAGACAGGCTTGATTTAAAAAAAACAAAAGAGCTAAGAAGTGCACAATAAAAGTAACAGATAAAAATTGAGAAAACCCTCAGTTTTTATTGTTCTACTGATAACATAAAAGCATTTTGAAGTTAAATAGAAACTTGCATATATCTTAAGTGCTTTTTATTCTTTCTGTTACATTAGTGCCTGTTTAAAAGCCACTTACAAAGAAAGCAATCATGCATTTAATTAGGTAACTATTTGTTGAAATTAGGATATTATTTGTTTAATCTCCTGCAGGCCATTTAATTAGTCCGTCTGTGCCTTATTCCTTATCGAAAGGAATACATAACCACCTGTTTTTTAGAAGCAGATGACATGCAACTGATAACAAGATGATAATAATAAAGAGTACTTGCTTTATAAGAATAGACCCTACACACAGTAAACTGATTTACTAATATCATGGTGACAAAAAAATAAGTACTTACGGTCTGTTCCCGAGAGAGAATCTTCCATTGATAACTGAGCTAGAGGAACTACCAACTCAGATGCCCCAGATTCCCATTTTTTGCGATCTCCTAGAAGTGGATGGTCACCTTCTTCTTGTTCCTTACCATCTTCAGACCCAGCTGATTCAGAGATATTTTTACACTCCTTTTTTCCTTTCTCATCTTCTTGAGCTTTAAGATTTTGATTTAATCTTCTCAGTATTTCTCGTTTATTCTGAAATAAGGGCCAACATATACCACTTATAATAGTACCTTTCGTAAAAGGAAAAGAAAACTAAATGGAACTGACTACAATTTGACATACTTGCATTGCAAAATCTGGCTTTTTAATTTCCTCCTCAGCTTCCTGGATAGCAGTTACATTTTCATCCTTTAAGTCCAGGAAGCATGAAAAACAATGCAGAAGAATATCTCAGAAGAAATAATCTTGAGAATATTAATGGATGTAATAGTGAAAAATCACCTCAAATTTTTTCATTGACAACTGCAGATAGACTGAAACAGAATGCATGATACTTCTGTTTTTATGGGACTTCCCAAAGACAGAATTTCAAGGGCAGCTTCTGTCTTTGAACCATTCACTATCTGAAAGTGGTGAGCAAATGAATCAGACTCAGTTTAAGCAGACAAGTGAAAGTTCAGAGCACAAAACATGTAAAGATAAAACTAGATATGACCTCTACAGCAAAATACCACCAAATTCCAATGCTAGAGATTAGTAACTCTAGAGAACAAAAAAACAGTGGCAAGGACAGAGTCAAGGAGTACCTGTAAAGAAAAGCAGAAGGGAGAAGAGACAACTTTAGTGATATCTAAAGTAGTCAAACTAAAAATGGAAGGCAAAAAATGTAGAACTGATCTTTGTGTACAAGGCTTGTCTTCGTCAATTGCTCCGTGTGCCAATTTTTAGTCAGTTATAGTCCCCATCTTGCATTACTGTAAAACTATCCACGTGGAAAAAATGTGCTAATGATTTAAGCATTTGTCAAAACACAATTTGTTTATTTTTACAGCTATTAACTGACATCTTTCAGTGTATTACATTTTATATACACTATTTAGCACTGAGTCTCACTATACTCCCATAGCCATAGCCTTCAGGGTTGTATACAGTATATAATCCCACACAACACTGAAATCTAGAAATATCTTAGGTAAAACCACAGAAGTTAACATTCAAATTAATACATATTGTGTTAAAAACTCAAATTGTACAACAATTTATTCAGTTTCACAATTGTTACTGAAATCAAATGGTGGTAGTAGAGGTAAACGTGTAAGCATTTACAATATCAGGACCCAAGATCACAGAAAATAGAAAGTAGGAAGCCTCTAATACTGTTTTAGACAACAAGAGACAACACTACCAAAATCAAGTCTCTTAAACTTTATATTCTCTGTTATACTCAGCACATACTGTCGAACTCACTGAAAACAAGAATTAACATAAAATTGTCCTATTATTAAACTTTTATTTTCTTACTTCGACCAGGTTACAAACTCCTAAACTCCCCTCTTCAAGAGGCTGATGAAAATGCTGGTTATTTGATGTTTTCTTCCACTAATCATTACTGCCTTGATCAAAATTGAAATTGCAGCCTAGGGTTCATCATAAGCCATTTTGTTCAAAACTGACTGAAATTGAGTTTCAGTGTACAGATGTATTTCAACAGCTTCCAAGTTTTGATTTCTTTTTAAATACTTTCCCTAATTAGAAGCAACAAGTATCCTTAATTTTCTTCTATCTAATCCACATTTTCATCTAAAAATTCTTTTTCAAATCAGTATCTTTGTTTCCCATTAATTTTACCCTCTTAGCAAAAGTACCTACCACACCCACTTCCTTCAAAGCAGAAGTCATGGAGATGACCGGTGTATCAGGCTTCACTGGAACTTGTGGCTTAGGAAGAGCTGCTCCAAGCTCTTGTAGACCATGCACAGGACTGTGCTCTGTAGCTCCCACATGAAAAGGCACATTAGGGTTCTTTACCCCTTTTGCTATCAGCTGTATAGATTCAGTAAAAAAAATTTAAATCAACAAATTAACTTCAAGACTTTGCACATTAAAGACAGTACTATCAAATAGCCTCTTGTAAACCTTAGAAAAGGACAATAATGCCATACATTTTCATACAGAAGACAAATGCCAACTGCACATATGAACTATTTCCAGTTTATCAGCTTCACAACAACCTGCTTTTTGTAGCTATATATTACTAGTCGGACTTATTACTCCACAGCACACAGAAGCAAAAGAAGATTAAGTACACTTTGGTAAGTTACAGATCATTAATAAAATACTGAAGGTGATCCTAATGATTCTTAGGTTTGATGTTCCTAAATTCTCGAACCAAATTCTTCATTCAAGTATACCTAAGATTAGGCTTCTAATGAAGCAATTCTGACAGATGCCCTCCTCAGTTTCAGAAAACAAACGAATTATCTAAGCTTGAAAAATCACAGTATAGGATTTTAGTTATACGAAGATATGGCACTACATACTTTGACTGTGTGTTAACAGGTTTATTTTCTTACATGTTCTTCCCAGGCTCTTTTCTCTCTTTCATATGCTTCCTTTCTCTTTCGCTCTAACTGTTCTTTCAGAACTGCAGCTCGAGCATTTGCTTGGGCCTATAGTAAACAAGTAAAAAAAGACCAACTTAAAATCATAAAAAGCATTAGCACCCCTTTGCATGGAACATTTTAAAAAGAAACATTCTTGGATTACTTCATCTTCCTTTCCCTCACTTATTACTGTTTAGACTGTGAAGGGAGGACTCTGCTGACAATCAAAATCACCACACAAGTATAATAAATGATCTTCTATGCCAAAAATAATGGCAACACCTCAAAATTTAATTACAGTTCTTGATTTGCATGATTATATTTTTAGTGTACACAGTAATCTTAAACAAAGTAATGTAAAATTAGAATCTCTACTTAAAATTATTTTTGAAGCCAAATGCATTAATATTAAATCTTCAGTTTGAACTTTACAAACTTACTCAATATAAACACAAAAAGCTTCAGTTGCTGTTTCACCTCTAGTTTTAAGGTTAGGCATAAGGTTAGCTTGTGTTTACATTGCTCTTTGCAGATGACGGGGAAAAAATAATCATAGAATAGACAGAGTAATACTTGCTATGTATCGTATGGCAGAGAGAGTTATTGATATAAGTACACTGCAGGGAATAAAGTTCCAATCAAACATTAGATGTCTGTAAAACATATTGGCTTTAAATGTACTTCTTCACAGTACACTTCTTTAAATGTATTGATATGGACTATCTTCCAATCTACATGTAGCCCATATCAGCACAGGTAAGGAGTTTTGCCTTCCTTTATTCTTTTAACTAGAGTAAAGTTATTATTTAAGGTACATCTTCCTTCCCCTTTTGGTATCAAAATGCTATTTTAATTATAACAAATTGCCTTTAGGACTAAAGCTAACCTAGAGAAAAATCTCAAGAGCAGGCATGGGAAAAATCCATATACATATTTTATAATTTCTGAGATAAAACAGTTGAACAGAGTTGTTACCTCAATACAGTTAAAATAAAAACCCCTTGTAGCGGATGTATGAACAAACTACTGATAACAAAATGAAATGTAAGAAACTTCATGAGATATGAAACAAATCTGAAAACACTAAGTTCCATCTCCTCCCTCCCCACAGCTACCTTCTGTGCTTCTATCCTTTTGCGTTTCAGTTCTGCTTCCTCACTCGATTCTTGTCCATCAGAACTGGCAGCTTCATTCTGTGAAGTGAGAGTCCTCAAAGAATTATCATTAATTCATGTATTCATCAGCTGATATAAGTGACTACTTGGATCGTTTAGACTGATTGTATGACTAACATGGGTCATAATTTCACCAGGTAACTCCTCACTCAAATGTTATGTCTACTTGGACAGAACTTCATCTTTGATTTGTGAGGTTTTTTGTTTATTTGATTGGTTGTGTGGGTTGTTTTTTTTGTTTTGTTTTAAAACATATGAAGCTTTTACAAGGCAGGAAGAGAGTAAGACACCTATTACTGCAAGGGAAGTGACCTACTGATGCTGGGCTTTCACCTGCCACCCCTCATCACCGTTGCATGCTCTGCGGGTAAGGTATACAAGAACGGTTTGATGCTCTGGAATTCCAGTTTTTTCCACTGTATGTGCTCCAAGGGAGGTGGAATCGGTGAGGGGGGAAATGGTAACGAGTAAGAATATATAAGGTCTATCTCTGAAATGTCCGTTTTCAATCTCTCTTACTTCTTTCCATGGCCTTTGCATATTCCTATTTACAGGACACCCTCACAGAGCTTTGCAAAAAAAGTTCTTACAGAAGCCTTTTATTGTTCATGCCCAACTAGTGCAAACCTTTTATTTAAAATAAATTATTTAGAAGCCCTATTTAGTAGGCTTCTTGCAATATAAGAAAAAGAGTGTTATTAGAAATAATGTGGAAAAACACAAGCAAGAATTTTAGGTAAATTTTAAAGTGAAAATAAAGGAAATGAGGTCATGCCCACCTTGGCTGTAGTCAGCTAACAGAAAAAAAAAATGACTGGAAAGAACACTGGAGAGAGAAAAACTGAAGAAAAATAATTCGGCAGTTTTCACAGGCAAAGGAACAAATACATATATTAATCTATTGTACATAAAATAGGATACTATACAGTAGCGATAGATATAAAATTTTTAATTAACATACGGAAATAAACATATCTATGACAAGATTTGGTCTGAGATGGTGTTCCTCTAGAAGTGAACCTCCATGCTAAAGTCCGAATCTGCAGGTCATCAAAAAACAAAACCTCTCAAACCTGGTCTCTGAATTCTGAAAAGTAGTTTAGGCCTACTTCCTGGAAAGATACTGATCTATTCTCTGTTCCTTTGCAGGTGGCATACCTTCTGGGACATACAGCGCTAACCCAGGTACCATACAGCCACTGGGAAAGGAAGTCAGGTTCCCGATATGCGTAATAACCCATACAGGGAATTAATGTCATGGTCACAGGAACAGTACTTTTGTTTCACTTCACTAGCACAAGTAGCCTTGGCCTCAAGAAAAGGTTTCTGGAGAGTACCTTTACTTCTGCAGTTAACCATACTGCAGGCAGAGTGTGGGTGCTCCTAATCTTGAGAGAAAGTATTGCAGCTGCTCAGTGAAAAAACTGGAAGAAACAGTACAGTACAGCAATGGCTCTACACTGGTAACATCTTAGCACTGCCTTCAGTATTCTACGGGTACTCAGGAGACACAGTGAGATTTTGTATAGAGATGGCTACTCCCACCGCAGCAGTTTTGAAGCTTGTCCAACACAGCAGAGGAAACAGTTATGAGTGAAATTAGCAATTTCACTTAATATGCAATTAAGATAGCATATGCTTATGGTGCATCATCTTAGCATTTTATGCGAGTCAGCACTAGTGATAAACTTCACTGACCAGCCTGTACGGTAACTTCATAGACTCGCAAGACCTTGATTTTCATCATGTTCCTTAAGAGAACAGCCCATGTCAGTCCCATGCCAGACTTAGTCACTAAAACATCTTACAAAGTTTGCGTAGTCTCCTCGGGTAGAAACATACATAACTTGCTCTGGATCACTCATTTTAGATGTAAAGGGGGCATGGGTTTTCATTCATTCAATGCACTAAAGAAGTTTTGCACCTCAATCAAGGGATTGAATTTGGCTCTCGCATCTTATCAGTGAGATGCAATCAAGGTTAAAGAAAATAAAGAAAAAACTTCAGAAGAAATCACTAATACAGGAAAAAACCAGTATCTTTTAGCGTTAAAAACACCTCCAAAACCTACAGCAATACAGAAAGAATTCCATTTAGCCGAAATGGTGGTCCAAAGAAACTGAGTGGTACTATATGTAAGATGCGTGAAAGCACTTAATACGGGTGCTTACAAGTGGGGGTGTGAGGCAGGGCAGGAACTTTTGTCTAGTTTTAAATCACAAATACATAAGCAGGTAATCACTTGAGGAAATGCAAACACTCTATTAAGAAAAATGGACAGGAAGGGGAAGAACAGACAGGAGTAAAAGATCACACAGTAGGTTAATGAAAAGATGAAAACAAACTCCAGACCATATCTACTACACAGACTGGTGTCAAATTAAACTTTTTTAAGTAAATGCATTGCTTCCAAGGCTGCCTTGGATTATTCATTTGACACCTTAAGAATTGTTCATTCTGAAGACAGTTTATGAACATATTATTTTGTTTTTGCTGTATTACGAACAAATTTTGGAAAAGTGATGTTTGAAAAAAAATGTATTGATTAAATTGAGCTCATGCCAGGAATTTCTAACTTTAATATGCACCTACAGAATGTATGAAAAGAATCGCTTCATACCTATTCTGTGTGAGCATTGTCAAAATGTGAATTCTGGAGAAATTCCTATAACTAAAAGCAAATAAATATAAACACGCTAGTGCTTGATGAGAAATTTACATGTCAAATTCACATATAACCTTATGTTGTCTTGTTTTCAAATCACTGTTAGTTTACAGGCACTGAAGCTGCACCCCTGGCACTGAAATAACAAACAGATTTTGCATATTCTGGAAGAAGAGATGGAAGTACACTAACTGTGGAACAGAATTAAATGTCAAAAATATGTCTACATATAAAACTGCCCATGAGAGAAGTTTTTCTGCAGGGATAAAAGAAAACATCCCACAGACAACTTCCTTAAGTATTTAAGATTATTTTTCAAACAAACCTTCTCTCCACGAAGTTTTGCTCTAATCTGTTGACGTTCATTAAAGTTTTGTAGCCGGATCTGTCTTAATCTTGCCAAATATTCCTAAGGCAAAGAAAGGAAATAAGTTTCAGTTATACTGAAACTGTCACCAGTGTGGTTAACTTAAAATACATAAGATTCCACAACAAAATAAGATGGGTGAAAAACACCCCCACACTATTACCATCACCATATTAACATTTACCGATCTCCAGATTGTTCATCTAATGAAAGTAAAGAAAACTGGAACATATGTTTCCCAGTATCAAGCTATCATTACATTTTATGTGACTGAAGGCTAGAAACGGTTATATTTATCACAACAGATAAACAGTCATATCTACATATACACACATTCAAGAACCTCTCTGAGGCAGAATGCTGTTGACAACTGTTATTTTGATTATTTAAAAAAACCCAAAGAAAAACACACAGAAGCTCTAGAACTTTATACAATAAATTATTTCCTAGGAATTTATAAAGTCTTTTTATTTTGTTACACAGATGAACCATGCAGGGAAACTAGGCACAGTCAAGGTCAAAATAGTGCTATTTGTGTGATGAACAAAGTGGCAAACATGCTGCAAGCATACCTCTTCCTCCTTGTTTCTGGATTTCCTTCCTCTTGCAGAAATGGGCCTGCCTCCATAGATATCTGCCACGTTTTGCAGTGTACCCTGTTTGCCATTTAACGGTATCAAGTTTAAGGTGGCTGGGGTAAAATTACCTGCTTTATCCAATAACTGTTCACTTGTAAGAAACCAAATCCATCAACAATCTGCAGGTGTTCCGAAGTTCACCAATAACCCCTTTTCACTTATACAAAACATGCAACAGTAATAACTAAAAATCCTGAGTAGGCAAAGAGAGAGACTAGAGCTTTAAGAATATAGTTGTCTTCTCCCTGCAATTCTGACCTTCTGCTACTATGTTAGAAAGCCTAAACTCTGATGGGCACAAGTTTTTCTACATCTGGACTACATACAAATTGTGGCACAGAGTTAGCATTTCTGCCATTGTTGGGGCAAGCCTGAAATAAAAGTGGAATCTTTGTATGTTCTTAGATTAAGCTTCTATCCACAATAATGACTTTGTTAAAAAACATATTACAAGTAGCAAACTCAAAAACCTAATAAAATACTTAAATACACATATTAGATCTGGGTAATATACATATACAAGCTGTGTTAAATGTCTAATACACACACATTCACAGTCTATTCACATAGTCTTAGTTACTTGATGTACTCTGTGTCCTAGCGGTCACCAAAAGGTTCAACCTTTAAGGAAGTCCAATACAAGACAGTGCAAGAATCATTTAACTCCAGGTTTTCTGCCTGGATTAAAATCCAAAATATTTAAATATTTTGTTCATTATATACCATAAGCCTCTACTGAACAGGTTAAATCTTAAAGACAGTAAGCATACACATAACAGTTACATGGACCTTCTGCCTTATAAAACACCAGGGCTTTCTCTATACCTAAGCTTGAGAAGGCTAACCATCAGTAAGTAAATACTCCAGTTACATTCTTGATAGAGAGGACTGAATCCAAATATTCTGGCTAAATCCTCTGTCAGATTGAGGGGGGAAAAAAAAAAAATCAGTAATTCAAGAAAACAGCACATTTCTGCACTTCTGTGGTTTAGTGACTGGGGGATCAGAGAACAAATTAAAGGAGCCATCCGGGTAGATAAAAAGTAGCATACATTCATGAGGATTCTATGAATTCTGGTTTCAGCTTGAGTATTAAACCATACAAAACAGAAGGGAGTATTTTCCATATTCACCTTTTCAGAAAATACTTGGTTTTATTTAGCTTTTTTATGCATGTTCCTGAGCTTTGCAAAAGCTAACTGGCACTATTCAAGTCACCTCATTGGTCTTCATTCTAGCATTCAAGTTAGTGTAGGTTTTTTCCAATCAAACTGATGGTGATTTATATCAATGCTCTTAACAAGAAAGAAACTGGAAGCAAGATTTTTGAGAGCTTATTTTCTTTCTGCATATTGTTAACTTTTACTTATGTGCCTACGTTAAAATTTTAAAGACCAGTACTCAATGTTTTGCAATGGCACACAGCTACAGTGAAGCAACAAATTAGGTCAGCAGCTGTCTTAAAGAGCCATCTTAAGACGTGACTAAAAGTACCCTCAACTCAACTACTGAGTCAAACTTTACACTGTCACTTGAAAATTAAAATTGACAGCAACTCTATTTAACTGAAGCTGGGTAAATTAGCGTGAGTCATTTGACTTACAACTCTTTGTATGACTGAGAGCTGCATATTAGTTGATTCCCACCAGTTTCTCCTCTCAGATCACCATGGTCTAGACAATAGTCCCATATCTGTACGAGAACTACTGCCAGCTAGTCAAATTATTTTCCTGCACAAATAGAAGCAAGCTGCTGAGGACTTCTGCTATCAATGGCAAATGATAGTACATAGATCTGGAACCCTGACTTCGAGTTATAAGTCTTAAGCATTTGGAAGTTACTTTTACAACTGTTCAGTAACCTCCCTGTTTTATTATGGCAGCCAGTTAAGAATAAAACATTTGGACTCAGCTGAACACATTAGAGAAACCTGAGAAACATTAACCTGAATACTTGGGTATCTTCCATTAATTGATCTCATACATTTCTATTAATGTCAACAAAGTCAAGAACAAAATGGAAGCAGATACTACTATGGACTTGTCTAAGAAGAGACAGTCTTAACAAGAATTGTTCATTTTTTCAAAATTATTTACTGGTTTTGCTTTAAAAAACACAACCATAGTTTTAAAGTGGAAGACTCATTTTTTAAAACATAAATACTAATCTAAGGATACTTCACTAAGGCTGTGAAGTAATGTAAGTGAAATAATCCCTGAAACAAAGACCTGGCTGTAAATTGTGATCTGATATTCAGATAGAACTCAAGACAGTTATATATATAAGTCAGCTTCGCTAAATCTGCAGTTGGTCACCTCTCACTGCAATACCAGCACCATCAGTTTAATTTCAGCAACTGACAATTATATTGTGACTTGGTTGGATATGAATAGTGTGGAGAAGCACTCAAAAAAGCAAAACTCTCCGCATTATGAAAACACATAGTTCAACCACACAAAGTCCTAGTGCAAATGAGTAATTTCCAAGATAGCTTTACTGCAAAACAAACTTGTTAAAGGAATATTGAATTTAGAACTACAAGCATAAAGAACAAAGAACATTTTATGACACTGTCCACTAGTTAATCTCTAAAGAACAAAGGTTTTAGAAATATCAACCTTGAAAAAAATGGATGTCCTTATAATAACTTCTCAATAAGCAGAATGTGTTTTTGTAAAACACAGTACTGTACCTGATCATTAGCTGTATCAGTTTAATCAAACTTCATTTTAGGTTCAAGCTACTGAATAATAAATAAAGTTTAATTTTCACCAAAACTTTAAAGCTATGAACAGAAAAAAATGTAAATGAATGTTCTGAAATTCACAACATCAAGCTAGATACATGCAAAAAAAAAAGGTATTTTCTTTTGTTAATGACGTTACATCCATCAAGAAACGTACTGCACAATTCTGTTACATTTTAATAAAATGAATAACAAAATGGAAAAAACCTACTTCCCATTCTCTTTTTATTTTTAAATACTGAAGGAAAATATTTACCCAGCATTTCATGGTTATGATACTACTTTAAAAGATTCATAAGCATGCTGAAACAGTAATATACATAGGAAGAACAGATTCCTTACCAGGTGTCCTTCAGCTCGAGCTTTGTTTTCCATGGCTTCTCTCTTTCGTTGCCAGAATTCTTCAACTTGCTTTGCTCTATCTGCAGCTATCCATCCTTTTTGCCTGAGTAATTGCAACACATAGCAAGATGAAAGTCTCTGAAATACAACACTCATCTCCCCCCCCCCCTTTATTCTAACTAGGACACACACACAAAAAAGTGATTTTCTATAAGGCATCTTCCAAAAATGCCTTTCATCAGCCAAAATACAAGTCAGACTTCCACAAAACAGAGGAAAATAGGCTCAACTAAGTTAAAAGAACAATTTAAACAAACAAACAAAACACCACATTGTCCTTCCATATCCTGGTCATCAAAACAAAAATGAACGTCAAAATACAATCTTAGCGCAATTATTTCTGAAAATGTCTCAGCTTGTTTCATAATTGTCATCGTTTGTGAAAAATATGACTCCTTCAAGATTTCCCTTGAAGAAGCAAGAACTCATCACATGAGCCAGTCAGTAAGGTCAATACTGCAGCAGTCTTTAAAGATTGACCTATGCTTGGAGTAAGAACTTCTACCGCTTAGGTAATTAGTATAGTGCTAGTATTCTCAGAGCTTTCTACCAACTCCTTCTGGGGGATCTTGGGCGATTTTTGTTTGTTTTTAAAGGGACTGTGAAGGAATTTTCCTACCTTAGAATTAGCCAGAATGAGATGGATTTTTTCACGTTCCACCCCAGGAGAGGGACTTGCTTGGGTAGACAAGAAGGCTATGTTCAAGTTACTATAACTGATCATCTGGCAAGTCTCCTAGTACATACATATGACCGGTTTGTAGAGTTTCTGACAAACTGGATAGAAGTGGACTCAGAAGAAGCTTTCTGTTAAAAAAAACACTCAGAAATGGTGTAAGATATTCTAAAAAATGGTAGAATGATGAGGCAATCCCCTTTCTAAGGTTTCCCTAGCCTTGTTTGACTGAGGAGTATTGGAGGTCCAGCAGCAGGCTGGAAATTCGAACAAGCTAATAGCAATAACACATCAAGCTGAGACAGTTACAGAAAGAATCATTCTGCAGTACAGGAGCTATTGCTAGTAATTCATAAATGAATTAGCACACTAAATAAACATCCTTGCATCTTGTTTTTACTCTCCCCTCACGCACCCCACCACAGAGAAATTAAATCTTTCCATATGCTACAATTCATTAAGAGGAAGATGGAGATAAAACTACTTTGACACAATAAAAACAACACTGTGGCTGCTCTGAAAAGGCAAGACAACGCATGTAGGCATTACTGGTAAAGAAACACTTGATAATCTTTATATACATGTATTTGACTCACTATAAGATTTTGACTGCAACTGTTCGTTACATATGAACTCAATTGATAGATAGTGAAATCTGTCTAAACTCCTGTCACATAGCTGAAGTTTAGCTTACAGTGTTGGAGATGTGCTTTCCAAGGCAAAAAACCCCAAATCTATTTGTCTCAAACCAAATTCTCAGGAAAAACTTATTTCAACTAAATTTTATGAAAATGGTTTTCCCTACTATAAAGCTGAGTAGCTCATTTTGCTAAAACTTTTCAAATAGATTTCTTCTGGGCAGCATTTCTGTCCAAGAGACAATTTTTAAAGATTGATGATGTTGAATATACTTTACATTAGTTGTGCAAGTGGAATCAGAAAGATTGCAACTTGAGAATTTCTCAAATTCTTTAATATACACTCCAAATTATCTATCTTTAAGAAAATTGACATTATTTAAATTCCTTGTTTGAACTAAACATTCTGAACACTTATCTTTATATTTCACCTCCATGTGAAAGAATAAAGTACAGGAGAGAAATACTGCTAAGCTAGCTATAATAATAAAATTGCATCTACATTATAAAGTACAGATACTTATCACATATTAAATGCTAAGTAACAGCACCTCAATTTAAGGCTAAACGTAATCCATCTTATAAATAAAAGAAAATCTCTACCTATTTTGAAACTTCATTGAGTGCTTTCAAGTTCACTTATTTGAGAAATACTGAATCAGTTTCCCCTCATGATCAACATGTTCTTCATAATTTGCAGCCCTCTACTATAGTTCCTCTCAATTTTAACACATTTAAAAAGGTTTACCCAGGTGTAGCCAAGTATCATTTAATATTGTCAAATGTGCAAGGCAAACAGTGTTTCCTAATCCAGGCAAGATTTAGGGATTGTGGCACTGTGCAATATGTTGAGAATAAAAAAAGAAGGAGGGAAATACACATCTACATCAGCTGGGAAAATACATGTTCCAATACTGGGTTGTACCAGGAGGAATTTCAGTTAACTCCCAACAGCCCAAACTACTATAAAGAAAGTAACATATACCTTGTAGCTTGCAAAATTGTAACATCAGTGTTAAACATCTTATGTTACTGCTGCAAATTTTAAAATAGAAAAAAAATCTACAGTGGTAAAATGTATTATATTAAAACATAAACCTGAATAAAGTTAGTTCAGAAAACCAAATGTTTTGTTTGTCCACTTCCTTTTCCTCATATCAACTCCATTTATTTCTTCCTCCATGGGATACATCATTGGATCTGCACAAGTTTAAGTAATGCGTGAGAAAATTTGTCCCCCTAGGAAACTTCGCTAGTAACACTAAACTTACAGAAAAATGCTATTTCCCCATTTACTGCTCACAAGTGCTGACACAGTTCTTTGGGCAATATTAACAGATCTGAAGGAGAACAAAGAAGTTTTGAAGAAGCTACCTGAAAGAGTGAAGTCATTAAAAAAAAAATAAAAATCAATGATTGTTTACAATGCTTGTATATATAAAAATACCCAGTTAATAGTAATTATAAAGAATAAGCATCACCAAATTAGAAATTGCACACCATTATAACATCTGGCATTCACATCTCAACAAGGAAAGCTCCTAGAAGTTTTCCACCGATCAATAAACAGGAGCTAACAATTCTGGAAACATTCTAGACACTCTCCTATGCTAGAGAGTCAAACACTTATATGTATAGAAGGCAGTCAGAATGAGATGACAGGAGAAGGAAGCATCTTGGCAGGTAACACAAAAAGTGGAACTATGAAAAAAGCAAAGGAGGAGGCTTATAATCTTATCTGCAACTGCATTAAACCAACAATTTTGGCTGAAATCTAGTTTAGTTACAGCTGTTCATAATCCATTTTTGCCACTATTGGGGAAGCCAAGGTTTCCATTGGTTCAAAAGCATTGTGGTCAGCAAAGGACTAACACACAAACAGACAGCGCAGTACCAATGGATAAAAGCGATTTTGAGACGTCCAACTACTAAATGAAACAAGACACAGAACAAGAATCTAACATGTAGGGACAGATTTATGGAGTATCACAGTCCAACCTGTTTGCATTGGCTTGTTTAGACACCTCCTTCAATCTTTTCATTTTTTTCCTAACTGCACCAGCATCAGGTAAATGGTGATGACCTGCAGGCCCCTTAGGAACTCCTGGACGTATTCCAGGTGGAATTCCTCTGTAGATAAATACGTACAGTAACTTTCATTACTTTCATCTAAAGCAGACCACATGCAACTTCTAATGGAAGGTAGCCATACCTTTCAACAGCTTCTCGGCCTTGTACTTTTGCCCTCAATTTGGCTTCCCTCTCTTCAGCTACTCTAATGTTTTCCTTCTGCTGTTGCATCTGGTCAAAAATAGCATGATAGTGTTCATATTGTCCTCTGGAAGACACAGGAAAAGGACCAACACCACCTCCACCGCCATAATATGATGCCTGGAAATCAAAAGGGGTAGGGTGGAAATCTCAAATACTGGTTTTAACAAGCCCTTCCAATTTTCACTTCTTCAGCAGAATAAAAGCATTAATGTCCTGCAACAATGCTGTATTGGTCCTAGTTTTATTCCTGACATGCTCCTATTTTAACGAAGTACAAGATATATAAATTAAAAACTTATTTTCCTGTTAGCATTTCATAATAACACATTTTATCTCCCTCTGATAATAGTCTAGTTATACCAGAGACATCTGTCACACATTTTGAAAGTTATTGGTAACAAATCCATTGAGGTGTAATTGGAGACAGATGTTCTACATGGTAAAAATCAAAGTTTTAGCACAAAAGCTAAAAGCGATACAGTACTAACTGAAGTACTAATGAGTGATTTGTAGTCAAACATCCATTTGTTCATGAAGCTGGAAACAGTTAAGCACTGACTTAAGCACTAACACAACTTCAAAGGTTGCTGAATGGCATAGGAATGCCCACTGTCACCAACCTATAATTTGGTTTCATCACCAGAATTGGTATGTTTCCCTACTAAAGCTCAGATCAGGGGAACATCTACCACAAGCTACTGCTTTATGTGAATTATCTCTGTCATTCTCAAAGAATTAGAATTCCTACAGAAGCTATGTGAAAATAACAAAAAAAAAGTTGCAAGCAGCTGTGTACAGTAGTAGCTAAGGATGGATGCAGAAAATGTGAAACTGGCAAAACAAAGTTAAGGTTGTCAGCACATGCATAAAAATGTTCCCTTTACACCTGGGGGAAGCAGTCAAATAGCCCATGGTAGTGAATCTATGGAATTTGATTTAACAATAGTGTCAATGTTCCTTCCAGAGTGGTCTTAACTATTTTAAATAAATTCAAGTGATTGCCTTTAAATAAATTCTAAGTGATTGACTACTTAGAAGTTCTTGAACAGATTATATTTGACAATAGAATTTAGCTCACATTCTGATTTTTAGGTGCTCAACACCCATTGATAGCTCCCCATAAACCATATCATAGAATACTAACTGAAAGATCTATCCAGGCATTCAAATAAATATGCAGGTAAGCTGTTCATCTGAATAAAAACAATTTATTATACAAGACTATAGTTTCTACAAATACATGGCAAAGCCTTGCTTTAGGCATGATTCAAGGTTTTATCTACCATTATTAGAGCTCAGTTTTCAAAAGGATTATCTAAAGAAATAGTATGATCAATCTCCAGACAAATGCTATGAAGCAGGTACTCATCAACAGTCTGCAGACCAGTTACAGCCCCTGTTAGAACCAGAAGCCCAAAGCCAAATCCTTCCCTCTCCCCACTTTCCCTCAGGTGCCGACAACCAACTCAAAAAGACAACAGGAGGAGAAAATCATGCAGTGCATGACCCTGCTGTGCCCTCATAAGAGGCATTATGGCTTGCATTATTGGAAAGCTTGAACAATGCTATTCAAAAGCATCATCGGAGAGTTGCTAGATACAGTGTTTTCATGTTGGAGAAAGGAAAAGGATAATTAAGTCAGGAATGCTGTAATGGTATATGGAAACCCGGAGTGATGATAACCTAGCAGACTGCAGTAAGATTTGTACTAAACTATCCAATCTGGAGAAGACGTTTAAATGAATCTTAAAGCGTGTTCGCCATGACATTTTACACCAGTGACACTTAATGAAAATATACATGGTCACTGAACCTCAGCTTCCCCAGATGACTGAGGATACTGATAGTGAAGCAGCTGCAGCTACAACAGAACACTTTATACATTTGCACTGTCTAGGGACCTTGCAATAAAATTCTCAAAGTTAATCAGAAACATGATTGTTTTCAGGAATATATATAGCTCTGATCCAAATGTGACAATGCTGATATATCGTGTTGTATAGAAGCTTGCATTGCTGCCTGCCACTTTCATCTTGAGAAAGAGAAGGACACCATAGGAGCCAAATGGTGTTTCTGGATTTTGCCATTAAATCAGCACCTGGTAGTTTTTAAAGTCTGGTATGCGTAAATTTGCTTTTATATTTAAGCTATACTTACACAATGTGCAGCACACATCCAAAGATTATGTCTATTTTGAGATAATATACTTAATAAGCAGCTACTGAAACCTGGTCAGGTGTTTGTGTATTCCTCATTCTTGTATGAGGAACGGAAAATAAAACTTCTATTCATTCTGACTCTACAGCTCAGTCAGAGCTTGTTTACAAAAACCCTACTACACATGTTTAGGCCGAGTATTTTTGTAATACTCGCTACCACCACCACAAATAGCTGTGTTTTAATCCTTTGTCTATTGTCAAATAGATTTACACCACAGCAATACTTAAATTCCTGCACTGGCTCTGTTTGATGAAAGTACCCAGATGGTAGTAACTTCACGAGACTACTTCCCATAACAGTTATATTTTCATGAAACTATGACACACACAATTAGGCAAAAAGAAACTGTCATAGGAATCAGAATAAGTTATGTAATTAAATTATGTAAGAAGTGAAAGGCTAGAGAGTTTACTGCTTTCAGAAAAAAATAATTAGACTTACACAGGATTTTCCACCCCCTTCCTGAACAACTCATCAGTATATATAAACATTTATGTTGCTAAATAACAAAGAATGCTTAGAAGCAGGTATTGAACACTAGGGAAGAGGTCCATTATACTATGAGAACCTGAAAAAAGACTTCAACACAAGAATTCAAGAACAAACTTGAATGTGAAAGAAGCTGTTCATGCATAGATTCAGCACAGAAAAAGTAGCAAAATTAGGAGTGGGAAAAAAACAGTGGTGCACGAAAACCATTACTGGCAGAAAGAGATTCAGAAATTCAGTATTAAAAATGAAAATTGCACATGATCTCCAAAAAGGACGTGAAGAGAGTCTGTTACACAGTTTCTTTTAAATTATCCGTAGATTAATAATGGGCAGCTCCAAGACTTAAGCTCCAAGAGCAAATCTTTCTGAAAAGTGAAGGCCATGCCAGATAACCAAAGGTGGGGGAACAGACTACACCACATTTCTGCATCTGCTGCCAACCTTAACATCACCACTTCCACCTGAACCAAGCACATTCCTCCATCCTTGTTCCCTGGCTCTGTTTATTCGTTCCATCTGAAGGAGAAAACAATACAGGAAAACATAATTCAAGGAATCACTAAGTAAAAATTGAACTTCACTATTAACACATTTTAAACATATTTTACCCTTTCTTTTTCCAATCTTCTCATTTCATCTGCCTTCAGTAAACTCATCTGCAATGTGTAAGGATGAAACATGTTTAGTAACTAGGAAATTGGACTACTTCATATTCTTACGCAACATGTAACACACCACAAGGTATTTCATTAAAATTACTATGGGTGGAAAAAGAAAGTCTTGAGAATCTTGTCTACCTGATCTTTCTGGCGCTTTTCTTTTTCAGGCAATTCTAACCTTTTCTTTTTTGAAGGTTCCTGAAAAATAAGCAAATAATTTGGTATTTATTACTGAGTCATTATTCTGACAAGTCTCTGTCAAGGTAGATTAGTGCTCCAATTGCTGGTATATGTCCACAAAGATAAAAAAAATAAATAAATTTAAAAAAAATTACTGTTACATAATGTTTAGGAAAAAAGATACAGAAGAAAGATTTGAAGATGTCATTTTGTCATTCTCGCTCTGGGCTTAGCTTTCGCTTATTTTGAAAAATTAACAGATGACTTCATGATGCCTCAAACATTTTCCTCCTTTCTTCTCCTGGATTCATTTTCTTCATTGGCGTTGGAAAGGCCTTAGTTAAAAGATGAAACTTAAAATTAGACAGCACAATGCCAGAATGACAGAAAAATTCTGATCGGAAAAAAAAATAAATCTTAAACCCACAACTTAGTGTGTGTAAAATGGGGTTTAAAATACTTAATTACTCAGGAGGTTTTCGATGAAAAGCACTGTTAGGATCTAGGGGTAAATGCTACTGTACTTGTTCATCCTACACTAAAAGCTCTGTCTTGAAAGCTGAAGGCAGTAAATCTGTTTTCTCTTAATTTTTCTTCTCTGCCAATATCATTCTGCATTACAATATTTTCCTATTATAAGTTTTTGAGGGCCCCTAGATGTTAAGACTCTCTTTCATTTGGAAAACAGATGTATTAGGTTAGGTTTATTAGGCTCTTTTGCTTGGGTAACTCTAACCAAGGTTCTTGTTACCTGTGGAAGAGGAGAATGCAGCCACTACTGAATACCTGGTAAAGAAGCAGCAGTATGTAGTAAGTCATGCTGCTTACTTTAATCTTCTCAAAGAGGTGATGGTTACTTTTAAAGCATTTCTTCTTCTGACCGTATTAGAACACAGAGACCTTCATAACATTTTCTTTTGATGACCTAAAATCCTATCAAATGAGTACTTTAAAACCAGGTATTTCAGAAGACAGAAGCCTTTAAAGGCTTAAGTCAATGTAGTTCAACTACAGTGTGTTAACGTAACGTCACTAAACAAAGGAGATGATTGTTACGTACTCCTCTGAAGAGCCAGTTGAGAGCTGCAAGCCTGGAACAACAGCAAAGAGAAGAAAATTTATATTAAACTGTAGCCATTGTTTCTATTCTACACCTTATTCCTTGTTACTAGGTACAATCCACAGAAAGAATGTGTCTTAAAATTGCAGTGTTACTGACTCCTTACATAGGACAAGAGGATATTTCCTCAGTCTCTACCCTGACACTTTGAGGCTCTATGCAATTTGGATCGGTGTTGGCTGGTAAAACTGACTCTAAAGACCAGCAGGCTAGCAGATGGTTGCACAACAAAGCCTTAAAACATAAAAACACTCATGGTCTCATAAGGACACACAAGAAATCTGTGCATCCCCTTCTTCTTGTTCTCTTTTTCAAACTATGTATCACAAGCCAACAAGGCTTGTGTAATCAATGAGTTTTTCTCTTAAAACTCCAATAACTTTTAAGCCTCGAAGATAATTTATATCTCACGGGTAATTTTCTATCCACCTATCAAATCTGACAGATGGATAGAGATCTCAACATTATGTTCCCCAAAACGCCAGGGGGAGAAGGAAAAAAACAAAACCAAAACCAACCCAACCCACAACAACAACAGAAATATGACTCATTCAGAAGAAAATTTGAAGTAATTATCTTGCTGAAGTGGGAGCTTCTCGGTTGCTAGTTGTTTGGCACATGCATACAGCTCAAAACTAGCTGTATCATAAACATCTCCTGGCCATGCAGTAATTAAACGAATAAAGACAGAGAGAAAAAAAAGAGAGTTTTATATAATAAGGAGTACAGAGAAGATGACTGGAAGACAGACCAAAAGTACTGTATGAAGGTATACAGAAGACTATTTCTCATTAGCTCATGAAATCAAGGCTGGAAAAGTCCTCTTGCAATTAGACAATTTCTCTGGCTGACAATGCTTTAGAAAACTACTAAAAAAGTTTTGAAAATTTGAGATTATTATTGAACAAGGAAGAAAGATGCAAAATTCTTATCCAGTGTCGATGATCTTGGTATACCTGACAGACTTCAAGTATTTCTAGGAGTGGTCAACACCAACAAAGGAACTGAAAACATGCAAAGCACATCTAATTCAGCAGTGGAATTAAAAACCAAACTTAGGTAACAGTCCCCAAAAATCATTAAATTAAACCCAACTAAACAACAACAACAAAAAAAATCAATAATGAAGGAAGCCCAGCATTTAAACTACAACTTTCTCTGCAGATGCACATACCCACATAAAAGACATTTTGAAAAGGAATGCATAGTATTTTCATAGCATTTAAATAAGGTATGAGCAAAACAGTTCAATTTAAGTAACTTAGCTTCTTACCTGTCTAGATTTAGCCAGTGGCTTCTTCTCATTAGGCTTTTTAGGTGCATCACAAGACTTCCTGATCACTAAAGGCACTCCATATTTTGCAGCAGGTTTGGTAATTTTCTGAGCTGGTCCAACTGTAGACAGTATTTGTTCTTGAGCTGGTCTTTTAGCTAAAAAGAAAAAAAGTGAACTGTTTTACAGCTATTCAGGCTGACCAGTGTACCACATTTCCCCTTCTCAAGTCTTGGAACAGCAAAACTGGAGGAAAACGGGTGAATTGCTAACATTTCATTCACGTGAGCTGATGCATAAGTGCAATATACCCAGTTGTCCAAAAGAGCTCATCTAAATTTCATGCTTGATAAAAAACAGCTGAACACAATCCCTGAGCTTTTTATTCTCAACACTTCAAACTGGAGAACTGAAGCTTATTTCAGCTGCCACGCTTTATTATCCAGTTGTCAGGGACACAGGAAAAAGTTTTCCTAATGGAATGGCAAGACAGGCCTCCCTCCACTGACGACACTGGACTGCAATCTGCAACACCAAAGTCAGCAGAAGATGGGTTCTGGAGAAGAGCTTCAATGGCCTTCAGGGATGTTGTTTTCCCTGCAGAGCTCCTGAAAATATGCCAATATTGTGGATTTCACTCTGTACTAGCAGGGCTCTCTTACTACAGAATAGCCTGCGAAACACTTACATAACACTATCAGAAGACACCAAAGCAGCTGCCACAGCTTCAAGTAATTACAAGGAAATAAAATAAAGGGGAAGACTATCTAGGAACAAAAGGGTAAAATAATGCAGGGAAATGAAGTAAGGTAAGACCATCTTGACAAAGCGAACCAGGATCTAACTTGCTACCAGTAGGAGAAATTCTACTGCTTTGGGCTGAAGTCAGGGCTCAATCCTGGAATGTCTAAGAAAACCTCCCACTTTTTTACAAGAAATGGTATTTCTCATTACCTATTTATCACTAGTAAGGGGGGAAAAAAAATTCATACAATAACAACATATAAATTATTTCCAGTATTTGCAGTCTTCACTGCCTCCTTTAATTTCAGAAGCGTAGCATACTGCAAGAAGAAAGTACACCTAAAATATTACAGAACCATATTTTATACTTGTATCATTTGTACCCTACATACATCCAGCTCTCCGGGGGAGAGGGGAAAATTGCTTCCCTCTTTTTTCCTTAAACTGCTAGAAACAGGTATAAGAACACACCAAAACCAACAAAAAGAACAAAGCTACATACACAATCTTGCCAGAGCTGAAAGCAAAAGCACTTTACACACCTACTTACCTGGTGCAGCATGCGGTCCAAACTTCTGGAAGATTTTGTGATTGAATTCTTCTGCAATAAGCTAAACAAAAAGTTGAATGGTTAGCCAACAGCGTTTATGTCTGAAGCTAGAAAGAACTCCTTTTGAGAAAAGTGTGCCACTCCCAGTAAGCATCTAACTAATAGTATTTACTGTAAATTAAATTTAAATGAATACTCACCTTTATGTATCACTAACATTAATATGAAGCTAGATTCAGTATTTTCAAATATTTTTGACATAACTACTCAAACAATTTTTAAAAGGCAATTTAGTCTGACTTCTGGGTGGCACATGTTACCTCATTTATGAACTTTCTAAGTATCTAGAAGGAAGTTAATGTGAGCATCAACATAGTTTTATGCATAGTTCGTTTTAGATTTCTGTATGGTTGCCAAATTTCACTTCAAATTCTCAGACAGCTTGTGTCAAAAAAATAGTCTTTTGGAACTGTTTTCAGATTTTAGTTTCTCTACCCTTTTCAAGATGGGAAAATGACTACACAAAGACTTCTGAATCTCACCTTTCATTGGGACTTTAATCAGAACTATTATTAGTTGAAAGTCTATTTCATCGACAATTGAAATTCCAATTATATATGGCCTTCTGAAATTTCTTTAGTTGTGAGTTAAAATCCACCAGAATTCTTTATACTTAATGAGGTCTCCTTTTTCACTCATTTCCTCCACATCCTTTCCCTGTCTCTATTTATTTGCCTCGTATCAGGACTACTATTCACTTGTTAATCTTGATGTCTTTTGATTAGATTTATATTAAAAGGACATGAATAGATGTCAAATGATATCAACAGATTCTAAACCAAACAGTGAACAACTTCTAGGTTGTATACACGTGATCTATTTAAACATCAAGAAATTTAAAGATTAATTTACTTAGCAATATTTCACAGAACACGCTTTCAGGACATTGGACATTCCAAATTCCAAACAAAAAGTGGATTGAAGAAATTATGATAAAGAAGCGATGCTGAAGTCACTGACAGCAATGCTTATTTAAACAAATCAATATCTCGCTCATAGTTCCTCACTATATAGAAAAACACACAAAACAACACACTTAAAATGCCAATTTAAATTTGTTTGTAGAAACTACTAAATACTTAAGTAATTTGAGATTTTTCTTTACAGTTTGTAGTAAAACTCTTTTTTCCTCAAATGAAAGTGTCTCTATAAAAGCTCTAGGGAATATCATTAATCCAATTTCTTATGTTGTATATTGACATTAGAATAAAGAAAAGGAAATGTCCTATGATGCTTTTAGCAAAATTAGAATTAAAACTAACTCCATACCTGTGGTGTAAGAAATTTTTCAACCCGTTTGGCTATAAAGTTTTTCTCCAATATGGAGTTCACCGATGGTCTATTCCTAGGATTCCTTTTAAATAACTGTGTCAGCAGATTACGCAGGTCATAGGAGTAATGTGTAGAAACAGGAGGAAAAGGTCCAGAGATTATCTTCAGTACCAAGTTCTTCATATTACCAGCTTCAAACTATAGCACACAAGAAAGAAATCAGTTGCTACACATTTACTGTCTGTCCATATGTAAGGCTGTATATAAAAATGAAGAGGAAACAAAAAAAACCAAACACACCTTCCCTTGCCTCAACACACCAACAAAAATTTTCAAGGCCATATTATAGAGATATAAATTTTGCTAACAAATAATTATTTCCCTCCAGTTCTATACTGACAATGAAATCTAATAAAGGATAAAATAATTATACAGTTATGTGCTTGCTCTCCTCTCTCAAACGCTTTCAACCATCACATGCCCTCCCCCCTTTTTAGCAAAGCCACATTTCAAATGAGAGAACATAAAGCATTCACACGCATTCAGTGTAAAATCCAAAGGAATGCTCAGACTTCAGCTTAAGCTCAGGAAGCAGAGTGCAACATTTCAATTTCTTTGTACAATAAAAACAGTACATACCACCCAGCTCACAGAAAACAACCTATTGCCACCAACTCTCAGAAAGGCAACATTGTCAGCATTGCTGCCACAGAAACAACCAAGCAATAAGACATTACAAATGCTTGAAATGAAATCCTTATCCCTGGAAATTTTTCTTCTGACTTTCATGTTTTCATCTTTTTTTTTTCTTTTAATAAAAATAGCTATTTAAAAAAAAAAACCCAAACCAAAAACCACAACCAAAACGAGAGAGAAAAAAATACTTTTTTTTCCCTTCCTAACTGGAAAATGGATGATAAAGATGTATTCTTCAAAACAACACACAAAGAAAAAGGCAAGTCTTTCACCCTGGGAGTTTTTTTCCTAAGAACTATTTCTGTTCTAAACAGAAATACATTAATCTACCTGCACAAAAGCCAACAGTCCAAATTCAGACTTTCAATGAAAATGTCGAGTTTTTGGAAAGAAAGGAACACTATTCACAGTATCCTTTACTACACCACCCAACAATTTTTTCAGCTAACAGTTCATTAAAAACCTACATTGAAAACATGTTTCTACAGTTTCTGGAGAGATTGGCATGAACCAAAACATAGATGGAAAATGTTTGTCAGTATAGGAAGAGGACACTAAAATGTTGAAGGTAATTTTAAACAGTCACCATGAAAGCCTTTCATCAACTGAAACACATTTGTGTAACATCAGGAAAAATCCCTGTTTGAAAGAAACAGTAAGTTTCTACTCACCGCATGTTTAAGTGTGCACATTTCATACAGAACACATCCAAGGGCCCAGATATCACTAAATTGAAGAAAACATACTTAAGAATTAGTTCTAGGTGTAATATCTGTGAAGTCTATCTTTGAAAAGAAAAGGTTGTATTCTGAATATGTACAAGCTCCCTTGTATCTTCCACCTCCTCAAACCATAAAACCCCAAACAAAAATATAAATCAGCAACCAAAAATAAGGTCAACCTGAAAAGCAGATGGGGTTACTTTGGCTCCAGGTTTTATTTAGACCTTTTCATCTGAACCACCCCAATCAGAGAAATTAGACAAAATACGGACAAAGGCTTTTTTTCTTTAAATGTATGCATTTGCCTGAGGTCTTTGAATTGAAAAAAAAACCAACAAAAAACCAAACAAAACCCACCACCCAGTTCAGCAAATGCAATTCTTAAAGTCAATTTTCCCTGTTTAACTTATTCTCACTCATTACAGGATTACAGAATTTGATTAGAATACCATTGGATAATAAATCCCATGTAGAAGAAATTAAGGGACTATGAACTGTAATAATTTTTATCTTTAAGAAATCAACTGAAACGTGTATAAGGCACTCACAGCAACAGATACTGCAGCATAGTGCAGCCTAAGACTAACTTGCTAAAGACTACTTTAATTATGTTAGGGATGCTGTTACCGGATACAGCCTACTGCCAGGACAGCAAATGTATAAGCTAAGTATCTGTATGACACTTATCTGAAGCAAGCTGAGCCACCTATCTATGCATGTGCTTAGAGAATCCAATTACTATGTTTGTGATTTCATCCTTAACTCAGTTTCACATTCATCTTGCATAAACTAAGGCAGTACAGCCTGTGTGTAGATAAGCAAAAGTAGAGCCATAATTAAGAACAGAGCTAGATCTGGAACCCAGAGCATTAAGCTAAGTCTTCTCTGCAACACACTGCTTTCTACTTCACAGACCAACTAAGGTCCCACTTGTAAAGTGAGACTTGGTACCTTCTTGGGTAAGAGATGAACTAAGGGCTGTTCACCATCATATGAATAGAACAACTTTAGATTTCTAAAAGAGTTCGCTTTTTTTCCTTAGCAAAAATGTTCAATAAAATGCTTATTAGTACCTTTTATTGTTGTAAGGTTTGTTCTGACATATTTCAGGTGACAAGTAGTATGGTGTTCCTATGCAAGTGCGAGCCAACTCTGCAGTACTAAAAAAATAAGAATGCATGTTAACTAGTTAACTCACATGAAGTGCACAGATTCTGTTTTCCTAGTTCAAAGCGACTTAATCTAAGTCAGAGAAAACAGCATCAAAAAGGAGTTACCTGTTAAGAACTCTGGCGATCCCAAAATCTCCCAGCTGGATTGTTCCATCTTTGGTTAAAAATATATTCTTGATATAGAAATTTTAAGAAGTCTGTTAATTAAAACAGTCATACAATTGCAAACTTTCTATTCTCAACATGTTTTGGGAAGAATAAAGTTTTCTACCATTCAATCGCTCTGAAGCTACTAGCAGTAGTGTTATTGACTACTGTGAAACACCAGACTTATTCTAGTGTTACTTCATCAAAAGTTAAAGAAAACACTATTACACATTCTAGAACACAACCTTTTCTGTCCCCACACATAAATATGAGTAACACTTGAGTAGCTTCATCAGACTCAGTTAAAAATATATTCTTGATATAGAAATTTTAAGAAGTCTGTTAATTAAAACAGTCATACAATTGCAAACTTTCTATTCTCAACATGTTTTGGGAAGAATAAAGTTTTCTACCATTCAATCGCTCTGAAGCTACTAGCAGTAGTGTTATTGACTACTGTGAAACACCAGACTTATTCTAGTGTTACTTCATCAAAAGTTAAAGAAAACACTATTACACATTCTAGAACATGTCCCCACACATAAATATGAGTAATACTTGAGTAGCTTCAGACTCATGTGTTTGTACAAATATCACAGAAACCTCATCCAGACAATTCTGAAGAGAAGTCCTTCCAGTATTAGAAGTGTTTACATAAAAAGACTTTTTTCCATAATTTGCCAATTTATACTAGCAAGGTAAGAATGTAACCACTTTGGAAGTAAATTCAGTTAAACAATAGTTACCTACATACCTGTGACTTTATGTCCCGATGCAAGATTTTTCTATCATGTATGTGTTTTAGGGCTAAACAGATTTGTACAAACCAATCCAGAATCTACGTACAAAAGAAAATGCAACATCAACATCATTATTTATCTGAAAACTTCCCCAGTTACATAACTGGAGATATTATCAAATCAGTTTTATAACTATAACTCAAGATTTTACCCTTTTCCCACAAACCTGTCGCGTTTATACCACAGAATAATTAAAAACGTAACACTACTGTCACTATAATGCAAACTTTTTAATGAAAGATGCCTATTGCCCAAATTAGATTTTAAGCCTGAGACTACAGGTTTCATTACATATTATAAAGCTAACAATAACATGCAATATGAATTTGATTGGCTAAAACATTTAAGACGTGGAGCTTTTCATCTTAGAGATTGTACTTTTGCTGTAACCAACATTAGTCTTCTTGCAGTCCAGTTAATCAACCAAGAGTCCTAGAAAGCCATGCTCATGTTTACAGAAACACTTATTTTATCATACAGTAATTTTATGCATTTGACCTTAAAAAGAAAAATGCTACAAAGCAGATTTCAATGCATAAAACAACAAGCAACATAACTAGAAGGTTATAAACAAGTCAACAAAACCCTTTTTGTTTTTTAAATAAATTTGTAAAAATCACAATTTAAAAAGCAACTAACAGAAAGAACTTTTCCATGTGAATAACAGTTTCACATTCCCAACTTAGAAGCACATAGATATCAAAATTACAGTATAATGCAAGGTGTAATTTTCACTTTTACACTTCTTGTAACAGTAAGCCCAAATTAGAAAAATGAAAAGTTTAACACATTATATCCAAGACGTTTCATGATTACCCTATTCTAAATACCATCAATAGACCTAATATACTACTAAGCCTTTCCATCCACAGGTAAATTGAGATCCTACTGAATGCAGACACAAAAGCGTAAAAACAATTTATAAACAAGGAAGCATACGTCAGTTCTAACCAAAAAATTGAATCCTACATAACCTATTTTCACTTAATTTAATGAAATCTGTACATAAAATCCTCTCAACTATTCCAAATTCTCCCACAGTACAAATGACTTCATAACAAGTACATGGAAAAAGAAAATCTGCTGGTATACTTCCAATACAATATGAATTTTTTTCCAATGGAAAAAATAAACTTTTGAGTGTCGTCAACTTCATATTGCCATATTTCATATTATCACACTTACAATCAGTATTACAAAACATACCCAGGATTTCCAGCTAGGATTTTTTAAAGATACTACTGTGACTGATGGCAACGAGAATCACAATTTGAGAACCTCATTTTAGATTAAGCAGCCATATCTACCAAACTGAACCAAAATAATTTAAAATGCATGAAAAAGTGTCATGCAACAAAAAACTATATCAGCAGTTTGCTGTTACCTGATCTTCAGAGAATAAGATTCCTTTCTGGGCATTTATTTTTTTAAATAGGTCTCCTCCTTCACAGTAATCCATCACTATGTAGAGACAGCCATTTTCTGTAAAATAAAACACAAAGTATTTAAAAAAGAAAAAAAAGACTCATCTTCAACACAACTTTCCAAATATCTTCACTGCAGTCACAGAAAAAGCAACAAAAAAATTTCACATTTTCACCTGCAGCTTCAGATATCATTTATTAGTCCCTTTTTTAAACTTTCAAGTGAAAATGCTTTCATTATTTTAAGTTTCACAACATAAGTTTCCCATTTCTGGTAACATCAGACTATTGTGATATGGAGAGAAAAAAAGTGGCATCTGTTAAACCAATGCCCCAAAATGGGGTTCAAAATCACTGTGAAACTAAAGATGTCGCTTATATGAATGCAATACATTCAAACAAAACCTGTTTTCAAACATCCTATAGATTCCCTACCCTGAAAATAGAGATCTTAAGTTCTAATTTAGGTAGTTGCCTCTATTGCCTAATTCTTTCTTAGAGTTTTACCTGGACAAGTTATTACTCACACTAAGTTCAAGAACATGACAATCATTAGCTCTCACATCAGACGTACATTTCATTTCAGAGACTGAAGAACAAGTAACAAAAGTTCCAGCAGACAGTGCAGATGGAAACAATTATTTTCTCATTTTTGAATGAAATTCAGGGGGACTTCCAAAAATCCTAAGCAAGTTTCCACTAGGAGGTAGGAACATATATAATGCATTTCAAATAATGTTACAGCTTTCTTCCCCAGTGCAATCTTTTCCACTTACCAATGAAAAAAAGAGATTAGGCAGAAGCAAATTGCAAGTTACCAAAGCCACAACAACACTATTCACATACTGGGCATGATTTTGACAAGAGCTGAATAAATGCATAAAATCAATCACATGCTGCTCAAAAGAAAAACTCCTATTTAATGAAAAAGTTAGTCATAGCACTTAAACACCTCTAAATAGAGTCAAAATTAATTAAGCCAGCTAAGTCGCTTAAATTTCACTCCCACCGAATGCTTCTGAAATCTGCCTTTCAAAACATCAAACCTAGGATTTTTCTTTTGTGCTTCCAGCTGTTTGTATCTTGCTTAAGCTTTATAATCAGTATTATTTTAAAAGATGATTCTAGAAGCCTGGATTTCTTGCAGATCTGGTGCTGAAATAATTCTCTTTTATAAGCCAAATTAGTATGTTCAAAGTCTATGTGCTTTAGCAATAAAGATGCAATATGAAGTCTTGTGAACTACAGATTACAGGATCTACCTTGTAAGAAAAAAAAAAAAAAAAGGCAGTCTTAAAGAACAGACCTCTACTACAGAGAAGACAGAAGCATGGATTTATAAACCAGAAGACTATAGCTGTGCAATGTGGCTATGGCACAAAATTCTTATTTAATGAATAGAAAAAATAAAAGCCCCCAACCAAAAGACATATGAAAATCAGCAGAAAGAAAGGAAAGGACAAAAGAGCAGTATCCTTAAAGAGCATCTGAAATACTACTTAGGTATTTTAATAGTATTTTAACCTATATGATATGCTCTTGGAATATTTTATTTGTTCTGCTTATTTCCCAAGACATTCACTGTCAGAACAATGTGGAATTATAGTTCTCCTTCCGTCATAGCTTTATGAAGTAAACAGCCCCAACTCTTTTTCCAACTCTGCAAGCAGTAATGTGACTGCAATTACTGAAGACTGTATTCTAAGGCAACAGACTTTGAGATAAAATTGCTCTTGCTAGGTTATCAATACCCAAATTTAGACCGTACTCATATTGAACATACACAAGCATTTAAGTTGTCAGGGTATATACAAGTATTCAAGGAGACTTACACTCTGGAGAAACAAAAGAACATAATCTTTTCATTTAAGCATCAACCAAAACTGATGCATGTAAGAAAGAGACATGAAGATTTCTGTTCAATTGTTGCACTTTTTTTCTTTACTATTATTTTTAAATGTGCAGGGAAATTGTGAAAAAAATACAACCGAAAAAGAACTGAAGTAATAAAGACATGAAAAAGGCTGATTAAACAGAGGAAACACACTGACTTTTAAACTAAATGCAATAAGTAGTGCACAGACAGTCACTTACTATCATTACTTCAGGTTCCGCTGTATTCATTAACCTTACCTTCAAATGACTCCCTATACAAGACAATATTTGGATGTTTCATGTTAGCCAATACAGCAACTTCTCTCCTTGATTCTTCCCTCTCCTTATTTGACATCTTCAGAAGGAAAAAAAATATTTTTGAGAGCCGAAATACAAAAAGAATGGATCAATAATTAATAATAATCACTTACCTTAGAGATGTTTATTTCTTTAATAACATACTGTTGGCCATTTTCTTTAGCTTTGACAAGAATTGCTTTCCCAAAAGATCCTTCTCCAATCTTTCGTATTTTAATGTATTTATCCATAGTTATCTTCTTAGAGCATCCTTACTCAATTACTAGGCAAAAAAACCACAAAACAGATTTAGTTAGCCGTACTTAGTCATCTAGCCTGCCAGGTCATGTTACTTTCTTTTTTTTTTTTTTAAACTCAAAACATAAATCATCTACTCTTAGTCTCAGTTCTATTTTGGTACAGTTGGCTCACTTGGTGTAGAAAAAGGGCTGCATTGCTAAAACCAGTTTAATCTGTCATCTTGATGGACAGTATAAAAAATGGTGTGTTTTATCTTTAAATGCAGGAAGCAGTCAGTGCCATAACTTCCAATTCAGCTAGCATGCAAACATCATACAGAGCTATTGCACCTGCTTAACAAACTTTCATTCAACTTGTAAGAACTATGAAAGTATGGAGGGAAAAAAATCCCTGCATGTTGTTTCTGAAGAAGCACTAAATACAGTATTATGGAAGTTAGTCACTACAATGAAGCCAAAAACGGACTGAATTTGAGAGACTCCCATCAAGTTGAGAATCATTATTCAATATAGAAAGGCGTGACCTTAATTCTGACTGAAAACTTGGATAATTTATTTTTCCATGTTGCATATAAAGAAAATTCTCTTCAAAATAGTTCAAATCAGTATTGTTAATGTACTATCTGACAACTTTGACTACTACCTTTTGAGATTAAACAGATTACTCAGCTGAACATTAATGGTGTTTAAGGTTCTATATTAACACTTTGGTAAAAATAAGATACTAGTGACCTGCATGTGGAAGGCAATGTAGAGAAGTGTAAGAACAGCAAAGAGAATTGGCAAAACAAACACCAAAGCAATACATGTCAAAGTGAATTCACAGTGGACTAAAAGGTCACCTTTTCTACAGTAGAAAGAACTTCCATACCCTAAGGAAGTTTCTGTAAACTTAAAAAGACAAAAGGTTCCTAAGCTTTTCCTGCATTCAAGCCTCGAGACCACTAACAGCATTTATGCTTTGCTGTACCCAGCTTCCTTCCAACAGGAGAACCTAGTATCTTACATCCGTAAATCACACATATCTCAGGTGAGGTTCTTCTCCCCGATTTGGGAGCATTTTTTTTTGTCACAGAATTACCATGCACAGATGCTGCTAAAGAGTCTCAGGAAGATGAAGGACCCATACCATGGAAGCAGACTAAAATGAATAAGCTTGGTTAGTATAGCAAGACAAAACACAAGAGAACTGAAGTAATCTTTTCTGCGAAATAGGAAATGGGTAAAGAACCAGGACTAAGGAGAACTACAAGAAAGAAAAAAACAAAAGTGACAGGCCTGCAATGTCTTTTTGTCCTGTCTTTTCGCCTTGAAGTACAAAAAGGTAGTTTAGTGTGAAGCTGCACTTCTAAAAAAAGTATTAACATCAGTATTAATATCAATACTGTCTTTTGGGCAACGGTAAAACATAGCAGGTAGGACACAATTTTAACTTCACGTGGCTTTACTAAGTTCTCTTCCTACCCCTGCTTTGTTTATGAAACAGCCTATGCTGTACTACAGCTAAACCAGCTGCATCAGGCGTCGCTTAGGGCTCCTACTGCACGCTGTTCTGTGCAAATATAAACGATCAATAAGCAGCCTGTGGGCTAGAAGGTACAGTTCAGTCAAACGAGGTATATAATTTTGTACGAGATAGATGGTTTATTTGTACCCGTGGCATAGGAAATATGAGTCTTCAGAAAGGACAGCAGCACTGACAGGGCGTTGGCTTTTCAAGCCCTAGGCAAGAAGTCATTTTATCCATCACGGACACGCACGAAAGCGGCGGGACGTAAGTCACACCCCGAGACAGCCTAACTGACCACTGCGTGCGGAGAAAGCGAGGCGACAGACCCGAACCGCACAGCCAGACCACGACCAGGCGAACGTAAAGCGGCACCGCGCAGTGCCCGCCGGCCCGAGCCCAG